GTTTCGAGTTGGTGGGACTGTAGGTTGGCCTCCAGGTACTGGCCGGTCTTGGTACGGTTGGCCGAATGGCGCATCAGAACACTGAGATGGTGGAAGACTTGAAGGGCAAAAGGATGCGGGATACCCAGTCCCTGGTACTTCAGAGGGGCAAAGACCACGACGCGGGGAAAGGAACGGCAAACCCCAGCTTTGTGCAAACTTGCTTGGAGGATTGGTGACATGATGGACACCCAGTCGGAGCGGCCCAGTGTGGAAAGGGGCATCACGTACTCCAAGGTTTTCAAGGCGGTTGCCTTGAGCAAGGGAAGAACGTCATAGCGAAGTAGATGTTGGGGACGGAACTTGGCTGCCCAGGTCTTGGCCTTCTCCCGCAGGGCAAGGTGTTGTGCGGTTCCAGTCTCAAGTGGGGCCATCATGACGCCCAGGGTCCGTTCAGATTCATCGGGTTGGAGGCGTCGAAGTGTAGCCCACGGCCCATTCGGTTCTCGGAGGGTCAGTTCGCCAGGCATTTCAGCCTTCCTTCGAAACACCCACGTGCCAGAGGACGGCCGCCATTTGAAATGAATCAGCCACCAGAAGGACTTCGCCGGGTTGATAGCTCCACCAGTGGCACTGATGCCACCCGACCAAAGGTCCAAAGCCGACTGTACCGACGGGAGGAGGTCTTCGCCAGTTGTCTCCACGTTGTCGTTGGACTCCATGACATCGGTGTCATCCACAAAGCAGAAGCACGAAGCGAAGAACTCCTTGTTGGTGAGGGCAGTGCTGCTCTTGTACCCAAATCCCTCGGCCTCCATGGCGTCAATGAGGATTGCACTGATCGCCACCCAGATGCAGGGGCCTGCGCCATTGCCTTGACCGCAGCCCTGGAAGGGAACAGCGCCAGTGGGCCCAAAGGTCCGATCTGAGTCGCCAAAGCCAGTTCGGACTCTGTGCTTAGCCTTTGCCAAGATATCGAACATTAGGTTGGTGACAGTGACCGGCAGGCCGAATCGCCGCAATGTCGTCTTCGCTACCCAGTGAACGATGCGATCGAAGCAAGACTTTGCATCGTTCGAGATCCAGCCGGAAGACCGTCGTTCCAGGATGAGCGAGTCCCAGATCAATCGTTTGGAAAGGGCAAGATCAATGGACTGGTGCTGCTTTCGTGACCCACACTGTCCTTTAGGGATGATGTCATCCTCCTCAGCAT